GTAAATTTATATGCAATACGCAATTTGCGAACGCAATCAGGCCCGGAATAAAATGAAGACGATAATCTACTTTTTACTTTTTTTATTTTTTTTAATGGGAACGCGTCAAATTAAATTTTGATTAAGTTTCGTCGCCCCACGCTCTCTCATCGCTAACTTCCATTATACATTTTTTTATCCTCTTCTTCCTCTCCTTTTTTGTTTAATATTCACGGACCGTTAAGTGTGTGCTGAATAATAATAATTCAGGTCAGGTGAGTGTAGGAAGAGAGCGGACGGGAACGAAGAACTGAAATAATGGGGGTTGCGCTATCTCCTACCTCCTTCTCTTGCACCCTTATTTTATTTCATTCTTTTTTGTTTTTACTCGTCTTAAAAACTCTACTTCTCTCTCTCCCTCGGGCCGAGTGAATCTCTTCGTCGTTGCTCGAACCGCGTCATCATCATCATTATCCGGATGATTTTTATTATTATTATTATTGCTATTATCACCAGCGATGATCTCTTCCGCGGGATTTATAATCGAGGGCTGCGGTAACGGTGGTGGAGTATACAAACCGTTGAGCAGCTCAACCGAATGGACTCGAGAACTGAAAACTTTGCCGAAAATTATGGCCGCTTTTATCGCGCAAACCTCCCCCTAAAAATATTACACATTTCACGATGCGGCGCTACTTCTGCTGCTTCCGCCTAATGCCCTAATATAATAAGCGAAAAGTGGGCGATAATGTTCCTTTCATACGCACCGTTTGCGCCAGATAAAAAGTAAATAAATGAAACGACGTAATGCGTGGTCCTCGCATATCCTTTGCTCTGACGAACGGTAATTTCCACTATTTGCACACACTTGTTAAGCTAAATATTTATCTACCGCTGTTAAGTGAACAATAAACAACGTAGGCTAATCTTAAGGCTAATTTGTAACATTATTCCCGATACACAAAGCTTCAGTAGTATATACGTATTTCCATAGGGTGGCCTATCGGATACGCCGGTTTTAATTTTAAAATGAAACACAGTAAATTATTATTTAATTGGGATTTTTTTATTGATTTACAAAGTAGACATGTTGAGAATATTTATGGAATACGATTTCGGGCAAATAGCCACCTCGGCTGGGCTAGTATACCCTAACCCTTTTGATTAATTTTCGAAAACTTTTTGCTAGGCAGATGAGTCAATTTCAGAAATAACGCGTTGGATCTCTGTTTTTATTTCAGGAATTGTTTATTTTTTGTTTAGTATGCACTTTTGACTGTACAAAACGCTAAGGTAGAAATCGCATGGCGTCAAGTCGCAAGATCTGGAAATCACACGATCAAGGAATATGTTATCTTAAAAAATCGATGGTTTCTTTTGCTGTATGGCATATGGCACCATCCTATTGAAACCACATTTCTTCGAGGTCCATGTTGTCCAATTGATTCCACAAAAGTTAGATAATTCTCAAAAAAGAACGGTCCAATTACACCTCCAGCCCACAATCCGGACCAAACAGTGACTATTTATGTGATCATCGTTTTTTTATCAATAACTGGATTTTTATTGCCCCAAATTCGACAATTATGCTTACTAACAAAACCATCCAAATGAAAATGAGCTTCATCGCTAAAGCTGATGTTTCAAAAAACCTTTTCGAATAGTCTCCACAAAACTTTTACTAAATTTGTAATGTGTTTTAACAATAACAATACGTTGTACTTTTGTATAGCAACCCATTTTTAATAACCTTAATAACAGAAGATGTCAAACATTAGAATTGTTAACTTAAATACAAAAAAAATGGAAGGAAATATAAATCTGGTGTACCCGATGGGCCAACCTATATAATGAGATACAGGACAATTCAATTTTATTTATATATTTTTGTTCGTACATTAATAATCTTGAAATTAAACATAGTTAAAATACTAAAACAATCATTAAAAATCCTTCTCCAGTTAAAGACTACATTTAATTCTTCAAGAGTAACGTAATTCTAGAATGTACGTTAAATTTTCAGTGCAAATAAGAAATGACATCGTCAGTTTCGTAACATAATAATGTTGAGCAAAGTTGATTTGCCGTATAATATTTCTTTACACATTTAGCATAGTTTATCTTTGAGCGAACATAATTGGATGAAGATTTCTATTCAAATTTTATATTTCTATATAAAAAATAAAAGGACATTTATTTTTCAATACTCTTTTCGTTATAATACAATCGCATTTTTTTGTTATAAATAAATATTTGTATATTTATTTAGGTTCATGACTATAAACTTAATCAAGTTGAGGGCTCATAAAAAACTATAGATGGAATTAATTAAAAGAAAATATTCTAAAAAAATATAAGTCCTAGTTAGCCAATAATAATAGTAATATAAAGCCTGTTAATTTATTAAATTCTCCACAACATACCAGACAACATTCCACTATATTCAGATTTCCGTCTGATATGCAGTGATTTTTTAAGTTACCAAACGTATTATAATATACAGACTGTCTCTAAATAATAAAATATCTTCAGTATAAACGTATAAATCCATACTGATATAATAATAACTTTGTATAAAACTTATTTATAAATTACTCCAACATTGCATCCAAACTTATGCGAAACATAATTATTGTGAAATAATTACCAACGTGTAAATACTAAATCGTGTATTTGTGGAATTGTTAATACATTTCTCATATTACGAATAGTGTATATACAAGTAATGGATTTGAATTACAATATTAACATATTTTCGATGTTGACGGTATTTAGCACAATGTAGGCTTTTTAAATCCAAATAAATCTTTCTATCAGCCACATATTTTAGCTATAGACTGAATTTTACAGACTATTCATAAATTTGCTTCTCAACTATTCGATTCCAAAAAGTAATCCTCTTATAAAACTATTGATATGCTACCAAAAATATATAAAATGTTTCTTCCAAAACCTAGCAAAAATAGAGAGATACTATATTTAGTTTAAATGTGCGGCAAAACTTCGATTCGAAAACTGTAATTAAATTAGGCAAAATAAAAATAAATTCTAAAAAATAGTACACAACATTATTATATTATATGTGCGCTTTATTTGTATTGTATTCAGTTCATCAATTAGACCGCTTACAAGCGATGCAAAGTATCGGTATACGACTTGATTTTATTTTTCAGTATTTTCAAAGTGAGAATAAGTTGCTATTCTACAAAGTAATACTGAAACCAATTTGGACATACGGAATCTAATTATGGGTAAACTACTTACTAAATTTCTCAGAAAAATTACAGGTGCACCATGGCACATCACTAATAGTAGACTGCACCAAGAGTTTGAAAGAAATACATAGAAAGGCTTGATTCGCATGCAAATGTGTTGGTGATCAAACTTCTGGACCACGACCTTGAAACAAGAACATTGGAGTGATCAAGTACTTGCATCTTCAATTTAATCTTTTTTAAGAATTTCTTAAATTATATTTTATCTTTAATTGGTCAGAAAAGTACTGACTAGCAGAATTTTCAATTTCAATTTTAAGACAATGTATATTAAATAAAGTGCCGCAGAGGACAATTGCTAGTAGAAAATAAGTGCGATGAAGATTATTATTGTTAATTAGGAGGTTTTCCCATTGTGAGCTAAAGGAATTTGGTTTTACGGGTGTCTGCGATGTCGTCGTGGGTGGTTTTTGCGGGAGTTGCTGAGGGGTCTGGTGGACCGGAGTGGAATGATTATCGCGTTCGGTGGCATGGTGGGTCGAAGGGTCGGTGGAGGGAATCCCAAATGAAATAAAATTATTCAAATGAATCGAAACGAGGTTCTATTTTAATGTAGTTACAAGCGCAGACTAAAGCCCGCCTTTATTCAACTGCCTCTGCGATTTAGCATCCATTTAAATTGTAAAAATTCACCGTCCCCGCGGCCAATTCCATTTGTCTTTCCTCTTTATACTTATTACAGACAACAGGGGACGGAAAATAATGCTGAAATAGGACTGTATACCTAGAAGCTTGAAAGCATACTAAATATATATATACTTGGAGCATGGGAAATGGCTCGAATTTCCTTGGAAATGATCCGATTTTTCACTGACAGCAGTCGCCGCCACCGTCGATATGTTTATAAATTTCAGTATATGTATATATTGAGAATTTACGACAGAGTTAGGTGTGGGTTTTTTTTTTAAATAAGGAAAATAAAACAATTCTCGGATTTAATTAAAGACGGAGAAGAAGGAGTAAAAGAAAGCCGTAAATCGCGTTCGGCCGACTCGTTTTAATCTATAATCCTAATTAATAGGGAAGTTTCGAAGATGAAGCGTTTGTTTGCGTCAAGTTTTCAATTGTAGTTTTGGTAGGAACGGCGGTGATATAAGTTTCCGTAGCGGCTGATTTGAATATTTATAAGTCGAAGTTGATCCCCCACGGCTATTGTGTGGGTGCGCCCTTTCTGAATGTGTATATGTGTGCGGCCCCATTTGCAGCGACCTTCCGCCCTTTCCCTTATCCTTCCTCGTTCCCCTCCGACCACCCTTCTCTTTCCCCACGCCGCCGCCAGCCGCCCAACTACAGCCGCCTCCGTTCTCCCGTTATTGCACTCAAAGGACTCTCCGCGCTCCGCTCCGCAGCATCCCCTAATTGATATCCTTCCTATGCTCTTCCCTCTACCCCAGGTTCCGCTAATTAATAACAACAAAAAAGGCACCATCAATAATATTAGATAATCAGCAGATCCACAACAAAACTACTTTTAACTTCCCTTACAAAAACAGTTATCAACTAATCAACTTCCTAAAATAAAACAACATGTTTCGAAACGTCTTGTTAATATTTATTAACTGTTCTTCACGTTACCAGCTTAGGGAAAGGCAGAAAGTAAAATATTCTGAATTAAAATAAGTTTAAAATCAAAAGTGGGCCTTAAAATAAACAGAAAGCGGAGCGCGCATTTGCAATTTAAATTGCGTATCGCTCAATTAACCAAAAATTGGAATAAATAACGGCCGCGCTTATGAAAGACGATAATCATTTAGGTATTTTCTTGCTGCGGCTGAGCGATCTCAACCTGCGTTCCTCGCGATCTGTCTGCCGTTGTTGGATTTCCTCGGGAGAGTACTGAAGGTACCATTTCCTCTTCTTTTTCGTGTGGTCCAGCTGATTCCACTCTTCATCGGTATAGTCCCACTTGGCTCTGCGCGCTTTCCCGGTTAACAAATAAAAGATGGTACAAACAATGGTTACGGCCAACGTGATCCAATATACCAGTTGCCACTCGTGCAAGGCGTTCTTAAAATTCAACACATTATTAATTGATTGTTAAATATAAATATACGTACAAAAAACAAAAATATAATTGCATACGACTTTTTACAACCCAAACAGCTTTCACGATGATAGACCAAGTTGTGAAGTTTGTATAAATTAGTTATATTTAAATGTATATAGAAACATAAAATAACTATGATTCTCCCAGTATTAACACAAATAACAAATGTAAAACTTAGAAAACTACAGCAAGGTTAAAAGTACCTGGAATATATTATAAATATCATTCTATATATTTTAAATACTTCGACTTCTGTCAATATATCAGTTATACTAGTTTACAGAAAACTGTTAAAATAACAAAAACAATATAACTAATATACACATACAAAGTGCTATTAGCCACTTTTCGTACTTGAAATATGTTTATGTTTATAACATATTATACATGTGTCAAAATTTGCTTCTCTAGCATTGTATGTGTTAAGTATACTATGTTTACTATTATTATTATTAATCATATTTTTTTTCTTTCTCTTTTCATTGTCAAGCATACAAATTACAAATGAAAAGAAAAAGAAAATAAATATGATTAAATTTAATTTTACTTCAAAAAATTCAAAGTATTTGTCTTCAATTTTGTTGACGTTATTTCAAAATATATTTAGTTAAATGTTATATGTATCTCAAATGATAAATAAATTTGTATGGAATTATATCTAAATTTATATGTTTTTGTCATATATTGGTTAGTTACATAAGTCCGTCCGTATTTTGGGATAAACACGTTGACGACCCAATAATATGGAAAATTATACTATATTATCATTTCGTAATATGCATACATTTTTTAATGTTTAATCATAAAGCTCACCAAATTAGGATTTCTACAAACATCTTTCGTAACTACCCAACTTTCGAAAATTATGCTTACATTCTATACTTACGTTTGGAGCAAGTTTACCTATGACGTAGGGTCCAATGAATCCTGGCATGGAACCAAATCCGTTAGAGAATGACATTAGTGTACCGGCGTAGTGGGTTGTCAGATCCATACCATTGATCTTAAGGCCAGCGTAGAAAGGTCCTTTGAAGAAAATGGAAATGCATATAAAAATCATTGCATTCAGCCTGTTACAGTTTGCGTAACCGGAAAGCAGAAGGAAGAAAGCTGGACCGCAGGTACCTGTAATAGCACATCAGTAACTCGAAATCTGTACTTTGATATTTACCTAAGAAAGTGCAGACTTTCCTCATCAAATTTACGTTCACATTTTTCTTCTTAGTCAGATAATCTGAAATCCTGCCACACATGATACCACTTAGAAACATGCCTATAAATGGTAGAGACGAGGCCCACGCGTTCTGTTGCATATTGTAATTTAATACATTATTCAAGTACTTTGGCAGGTAGGTGATTAAGTTCAATGTGATGTAGTTGTTACCGGTTTGGCCTATTATTAATCCCCAGACGCCAATATCGGAGAGTATTTTACGCAAAGGAATGACACTCTTCTGTTTGCTTTCAATATTCGACTCAATCAACGCCATTTCTTCGGGCGTTATGTACTTGTGATCGACCGGTTCAGAGGTAGCCCACAAAACGAAGAATGGTAACCATACAACACCAGCAAAGCTCCAGATGTAGTACGGCGCTGCCCAATGGCTGAAGTAATCTATAGATAAACCACTGATCAGAGTTCCAAACACTATACCGAAAGAGTATCCAGAGTACACTATAGACCCTAGAACGCCTCTTTCATCTGAAGGCACCCAGCGAGCCAGGAACGTCGTCACAGCTGGGAACGCAAATCCTTGTCCCAGTCCGCACAAAAATCTTAGCGTAAACGGATAAAGCCAGTGGAATTTACTCATCACCGTAACAGGAATCAGCATTGTCGTAATCGTGGACAAACCTATACTGACCACCACAGGGTATTTGGCCCCTACCTTATCACATATGACACCTGCCAAAAGTTGTGTTATTGTATAACCAATGTAGAATGATAGCAGAACGTAACTCTGGATATGCTCGTCCCAATCGATCTTGCCACCCTTTAAAAATGTTCACCTAATTAATTGACTTTCGCATCAAACTATATAAATTCTACCCCTATGTTTTCCAACACCGATTCTTGACCTTTCTCCAATTTACAGGTAGCATTTTCAAAACTCTTGGTTTGCACAACCATCTCGACAATAGCTATATGCAGAACAACCCGCTGACAGAACTCTATTATTAAGAAGAAGAACATGAAAGCGGCGATCGTATGGCGCAACGAACCCGTGCAACCTTCGCAAATAAACTGGCTTAGATATCTTATCAAAATGAATATTTAAACTCACAGTAACATTGGCATCCTAAAATTATGCATTTACGTTTTTCTTCTTCTGGCATTCAAACAATTATAGGTCGTCGAGGTTCCAATTAACTTAACTGCAATTACACCAAATTAAATATCAATCTGTCAAAGTCAGTTTTTTTAATTGCAGGCAACCAAAATAATATTCTATTCGGCGCATTGTCATTTGATTTAAGTTACAGTTTATATATTTTTTTTTCTTTATTTAATCAAACTTTTTTAATTTAAGCTTTCTAATCATAATCCGATACAAAAGTTATGAAATAGAATTTCAAGCCAATTAAAAAAAAACGTGGAACAAAAACGGCGTCAGTCCATACAACTTAATTAACTTAGGTAGTATCACTATAAAGCAGAGGTTTTTTTTATCATTATTAAAACTTCTAAAGAATGTATCAATCTATCAAGAATTGTAATAATAAAACCAAAATCAATAAATCGTTAACGTATTCGCGACCATTGAACCAAGGACTAAACTTTCATATATATTCATACGTCTATTTTTCTAATCCATTATTATAGATACATAGTATTTTAACAATTTTAATTTGAAAACTGTAATATTAATTGGGTAATGAATTAGAATTACGTTTCCATACATCGCGGGTGTAATTACAATGATTTGCATCAACTTTAGATAAGAATAATACGAATCGGTTGATCATTTCATTAATTTGTTCATTTCGTGAAACTCTAATTATAGAGAGGTGATAATAATAATAGGGACGTTATAAAAGCCTAACACAAAAACTCTTTTCCTATTTACTTTTTTACCTTTTACTCTACTTCTGTATACCGGGATGGAATATCTCTAGACTGGGGATTCCCAAACTGTGCGTCCCGACATGGGGGCCACGGAAAAAATAAACTCTTCAAGATTTATACTAGAACTAACTTACAAAAGAAGAATATTCAGGGGTAGGGTATGATTTATCACTCGAAGAATATGTTAATAACATGTGTATTTGAGTGATATTTTCCGCAACCAAATGTTTGTCACTGTTTACAGCCCAGTGATTCCAAATGGAATTATTAATTAGAATTAAATACAATTTTGTCTTTCGACGACTAAAACTGTTAGATGCAACTAATGTAAAGCTAGATGTATTTTTAACAGTTTATAAAAATGTTAATCAAACAAAAAAAAATGGGCTGGAAAGTGTTATTTATAAGTTAGTTTTCGATGTACCTTTGAAAAGAAGCAGAGTATATCTTTAATTTAGATATAATTCCAATCGAACATCGTGAGTATAACTTACGACTTTGACGATACGACTTAACGCCCTAAGAACACCTCATTAAATAACTTCATAGGAGGACATAACGATGGCGCCTGTATCGACAAATTCATATAATTTTTAGGATTTACCAACCTTTAGACGACGCATTGCAATCTGACGTTTAGTACACAAGTTTTAAAACAATGAAAAAATCTGAATTTTGTGTGTTGATAAATCTTTGCTTATTGATACGAAAAAATACCGTTTAAGCAAAGCAATGGCTTGATAAGTGTTATGGGGATTCTTCTCCTTCGAGAAAAATTGTGAAGAAGTGGTTTTCTGATTTTAAACGAAGTCGTAGAGACACAAATGATGCTGAATGCTCTGGTCGCAATTCGGCATTTTTTTCAGAAAACATAAAAAAGTCCACAAAATGGTTTTGGCCAATCGTAAATTGAAGTTGCGTTAGATAGCTGATACCCTGAATATATCAGAAGGCAGTATGGTCGTCACCATTTTGCATCAATATTCGATCATGAGAAAGCTCTGTTTGAAATGGGTACCGCGTTTGCTCACAGCGGACCAAAAACAACAACGAGATGATGATTCCGAGCGCTGTTTGGAGCTCTTCAAGCAAAATAAAAAGGATTTTTTCATACGGTATATAGCTTTGGATGAAACCTGGATACACTACTATACCATCTTCAAATCAGTCGTCAGTAGGGTGGACAGCAAAGGGTGAAAGTCGTCCAAAGCAGCCAAAAACGCAAATTCCAGCTGGTAAGATTTTGGCCTCCGTATTTTGGGATGCGCACGGAATTTGAATGACCTTGAGAAAGGAAAAATCATCAATAGCGAATATTATATGGCGTTATTGATGCGTTTGTTATGTGATCCTTATTTCGCCGCAGTCATATCTGTTGGACCTACCAATTCATAAAAAGATACAAATATGCATTTGTGCGTGTCTAAACTAAATTGTTCCTTCGATAAAGGTGTGAGCAAATGCAATTAATAATCATAATTAAACAATTAATGTTGTTAGTATGTTTGGTCACAACTCATTCCTACGATCCGACGTCGTCCTTCCTTACTTTTCCATTCCCTTTGTCTATCTCTTTTAACATACTTCACTACCTTCTACGACACGACACCCAATAACTTCCTTGAACATCATCTATGAGCTGTAACGCTATGCAACAAAATCAACGGAGAACTCCATCTCACGACGTTTCGACCATAAAATATTGCAAATAGATACGGTCTTTCCACCCGGGCATGTTGATATATTTGCACACTACTCAATGTACATACATCGGTTGGAAAGTAGTTTGAATTGTGCAAATACAACAAATTTTGCATAAGTTCTTTCGAAACTTATGTTTATAACGTATGTGTTTCTTTATTAGTTTCTTTGTATACGTTTTCAAAAAAAAATTGATAATTGAGTTGTAACGTTTATTTTTAATTATATATTAATGGTCCAATTTTATATATGTTTTGTATTGAAGCAAACTAATTTAATAATTATAATTAGTAAATTAATTGCTTGTCGGTTCATATAGTCTGCCACGTACCGGTCAACGTTTGATAATTTTAGAGCGGTCCAGGGGTTGGGGACCACTGATATAGACGATTAAACACGAATTTACATCATTAAATATTAAGAACGCAATATCGGTAGGTCGAAAACATACTTAAACATAAATGATGTGAGAGTTACGAGTTTCTACAGAAAACTGAAAGCATAAACATGCAAATTATTAAAAGGTGCTTTAAAGTATGCAACATATACAATTTTAATATAGCTCATTCCGAGCTACGCTATTATTAATGTGCTCATTATTAATAAGTGGTAGTTCTGTATTAATAATTAAGTTACGGTAATGTGCATATTTGAGAAATATTTCTATCTCTTTCTCAGAGCTATTTTATAATTAATAAACATGATGTGTATGTAGATTATTTATTTTATAATTATAAAATAATATTAAGGAAAGAACTAAAACTATGTAAGATGATACTCCATATCAGACAACATTCCAATGTTAAAAAAATGAGAAAAAGGACATATATATATATATATATCAGTAACAGTTATATAATTTTTATTTACCATCCATATTCAATATCTTTTCTAAATATATTAGTATTCGAATGATTAAGTAAAACGTGAAATTTTGAAGCTTTTCTTCTAATAATACTAGTATTACAAAATATAACTTTAACTCATATCTACATTCATTATATAACAATTACGTTCCGCCCTGCAAAACAGTGAGCAAATTAAATATTTAGTTTCTTTGACTTGTAGAGACGGAGACGACAAAGGAAAAATTTATTTATAATTTGCTCAATTAAAATTTGGTTTGTTTATAAATTTCAAACCGAAAACTATTTATTTTTATGAAAGAGAGCAAAAAAAAAGCCTATTACGAGTATACAGCTATTTAAAAAATAAATTATCATCGCTTATTTAATGAAGCAGTTGGCGTCTGCAGAAAAAATAGAAACACGGCAAAGCAGCAGGTGTTGAAAGCGGACAGTTTTTTTTATTATCAAATGTTCTTATTGATTAGATAAGCGAATTTTGTTTTTGTGTACATTTTATTTTGTAACAGAGTAGATTATTCAAATATTTAGGCTGTTTACTGCAGTTGTAGTCTACTTAGAATTTAATCAAACCCTTCTCACTAACATAAGTTTCTATCAGAATCAGTAATTCTATTTGATATAGTTCCCTTACATCTGTCCATTTACCAAGTCATACAGCCGTTAAATTATATAGTTATTTGACTTATTGACTTGCATAGAATACAATATCTCTATTACCCCACCACCAACTATCAAAATATAAACAATAATAATACAAAAATATAAGAAATAAATTTAATACAAATTGCATTTATTTTATTTAACACATTACAGAGTAGATAGTCAGTAGGAGGATCGGTGCCTTACATTAAATAATTTTGTATAAATTAATAAAAAAATCCACTTATTTAGTTTATTTATTTTAAATAAAAGAACTGAAAATGAATAAAAAGATATAATGCGCTGATTATAATTCCTTCAACAACAAACAAAGTATACTGTTATTACTTGGTTAACAAAACTTAGATTTACCAAATCCTCTCAAATGGTTAAAAACCCTGTGAACGCTGGATTGATTCCAGCCATGCCAGGAAAATCATTATCAAAAACAAATGTCAACCGCCATAAGATTTACTTAATAACAAAATAGTTTGGAAAATAACATACAATAAATTAAACTATTCAGATATCTGAACAAAAAGGTTTTAAAACTGAGGAAATACTCATAAAATACATTAAAAAAAAAGCCTTCTACATTTATATAGCTGAAAAAAAACTCCATTGAAATGCATTTATAAACAACGAAATAATTACAATTGATACGCAAACTGCGATTGTTTCTGATTTTTCGAAGAATAAATTATTTTTTGAGGTTCCACTAATGACTCTTTCCCAAAGCTCATAAAACCTACGGTAGGTTTTACTGATACGGCTACATTTCGTGCGTAGCAAACTAGTAAATGATATTATTACCTCAATGTCGTGCAGCACACTATACTTTCCTTTGGTAATCGGACACGTCGCGTTTCCAGACAGCTTTTTCTTCTGCAAAATATTCTTATCTATGGCAGGGTACAGTATCACAAACAAAACACTATTATTAGTGAGAAAAACAGTAGGATAACGATCACTCAATCTATAAACGAATATCAAATATACATACGTGAGATGAAAACAACATTTGACTAAAAGTATGTTATATGATATGCAATGGCAATCGAAATCCCGACAACCAAAACCAGGCAATCAAAATCCCGGCAACCATAAATCCCGACAGTATCAAAATCACGACAACCATAATCCAGACAGAATCAAAATGCTCTACTTACTTTGTTACTGGTTGTCTGAATTTTGATACTGTCGGGATTTCGAATGGCGGGAATCTAATTGTCTTCACTCCGGTTGTCGGCATTTTTATATAGACTCCATGCACAGAAAATTTTAGTCTCAATAAACTATTTACAATTTGTCTGGCCCGAAAATGATGTTTCACTGTATCTGTCAATTGATATTTTTTAAATGCAACCCAATCTCTTACTCCTTTTCAAAGCTTGTAAATATGATTGCATATGTGTACATGTATATATATTAGAGGCATATGTATGCATTTGTATATACATTTGTATATGCGAATGTGAGTGTTTGAACTGGAACGAGACGAGAGGTTAATTTCATAGTAAACTTTGAAGTTGAAACGCGATATAGATTTAGTGGAGGATCTTTAGACTTGCTATTTGATGCCCAAAGGTTTATAAACAGAGAAATTCCAAACCGTCTCGTGCAACTCGTCCTTTTCTCCAGTCTCCAGTCCACTAGTAAAACAGAGTCCTCCCATCCCGTCCACTCGCATTAATTTCCCGGGTCCCGTCTGTATGTAATCTGATTTCCATTTCACTCCACCCCCAACCGATCCACCGTTTTCTTCGAACATCGCCATTCACCCCACCCAACAAATCCGGCTGCCCATCATACCCCGCACGCCCCGTTGTTTATATTTATTTATTTATCGATTCTGGTCGACGGCCAATAAATCCACCGGCCCGAATCCTCCCACGACAGATGATATTTTTTTTTGTCGCATAACCACCACCCCTATACCCATCCATAATTTCATTCGGAAAAGGGGGGCGCAATAAATTTGGGGGCGATGGCGGTGGGAAATATCTGTCATAAAAGTTTTGGCCGCAATCCCGGCCGTTTAATTCCAATGGAAATTTACACTTTGAAACTATGCCCATATAACATTGAGCTCTCGCAACGCACACATAAAATCCGGCCCCCATTCATTACGTAGACCGCCGTTGTCGTCGTCGTCGCTCTCGTCCCTTTCCCCTAGGTTGTTCCATGCGAACAATTCAAATTTATTTATTTAACTAATTTTCACCACCCCTCATCAAATCACCATTGTAACATCTTAATTCAAATTCTTCCTCCTTTATACATATTTACACTTTTTTCTTTCAAATTTTCCAGAGCCAGTTTGATTGCCCTTTTTTGAATATATTCAAATTCCCGAGGCGCAAACAATTTACAAGTTAAATCGTTTATTTATAAAATAATTAAGGATTTAAGGTAAGTAAACATATTGTTATCATCTTGGTATCTAAACATTGTTATAATTGATTAAAACATATTTGTATTTATTAATGTAATGCAGTAATTATGCACTATACTTTATTTTTCAATTATTGTATTGTCTTTTTTGTTTTTTTTTTGGCATATTACAGACTAAATAAATGTATTGCATGTGCTAATTATTGAATATAGAAATGAAAAGTGATTTTTTTTATTCATTAATAGAAATGGAATTATAAATTTTGATCTGACAATTGAAAATATTACTAAAGTTACAGCAAATTGTTTATTGCTATTACATTCTAATGTGATTCAGAACTACCAATGTTGAATATTACATAAACTTAACTGGTTATAATGAGCGACAAAAAAATGTACTCACATTATATTTGTGTATACACCAAATACAGAGATGAATTAGAATTAAACGTAATTATCAAAATGTGTGCATTCATATTTATACACGAAAATCCTTAAACAAATTGAAACATATACAAAATATTAATTTATTAAATATTTTAATTATTGTTAATTTAATAGAAAACATTATTAATGTAGATATTTAACAATTAAAATATGTTAATACAATGAAGGATCTTTTAATCAATGAACAATAACAGGAAAATCTTTAAACAAAATTTAAATGAAATGAAAATACGTACCGAAAGAAGCGATAACATCATGTTATAATACAGGGGTGGCCAGACTTTTTGCAGCAAGAGCCATTGTTACCTACCCGAAAATATTGAGAGCCGCACTTAAATTTTTTGGTATAAATTTGTTTTTTAAATTTCAATCATAATATAAAATATATATAATATTTGTGTTTTGTTGTAGCTCAACGAGCCAGAGTTTGGCCACCTCTGTTATAAAACTATCATTGACACACAGAGAAAATAAGCCAGAAAAAATAAGGTTGATAGTAAAAGGGATTGAATTTATATTTTTTAAATTAAATATAATAAGAAACATAGGGCAGAAAGACCATATTTATATATACATATACTTTATAAGACTTATATTTATTTTATTCTTTTTATTTCTGTATTTGTTTTTTTTGTACGACTGATGCAATAAACATTATTATTTTATTTAAGAAACATAATTTATTGTATGCATGCCTATATAATTTATCTAACACAAATTCTTATTGTAAATTATAATTATTATTCTTTTTTTATGAAAATATATTCAATATCATTAAAACATACATAAATAATTTAATTACGTATGTAAATGTTAGATAATTTAAATTAGATTATATTAACTACGAAACAATCAAAAGAATAATTTCAAAATCTGAAGTACAATAGAAATATAATAATATTTTCAGGAAAATAACCCTTCAGCCCTTCAGGTTACAATTGGTGACTAATAAAGATTTTTTTTATTAAATTATTTTATTTTAGATTTAAGATATTGCTCAAAAATATTGATAATATTAATTTATTATATTAATAATAATTTGATTAAAACATAATCGATTTACTTTATTTAATTTTAAAATAACTATTGCATGTAAATTTCACTTACCTTTAATATCTAGAAGCAGATAAATGCGGGTACATAAAATAACAAGACGCATTTTTTTTTATATTCATTCACTTTTTATTGATTTTATTTTCATAATATATATAATAATATAGTAACAATACTGTAATCTTCCGCATTTAGTTAATTCTCGACCTTCCTCTTTAAATATATATATATATATTTCAGTTTACATCCGCCATATAATTTTATATGTATATATATTTATATACTTCACATTTCTTTATTTAATTAAATAATTAATATATTTATAAAATAATAAACATCTTCCTTAAAGAGAAGACTTAAAACCGACCAACAAATCGGTCGGATTTATATTTAATTATATATATATTTTAATTAAGTTTAGTTTAGTGTGTGTGTGTAGTTAATGGTTTGTGAATGAGAGAGAAAGGGGGAGGTAGCTGGAAACGAACGAGAAAGAAACAATTATTTTGTTATTGCTTGGGAATTCTAAACTAAGTCTCTCGTCTTCATAGTTTCGGAAAGTTTACCTCCATTGAAATATATCGATTTGATTAATTATTTAGTATTTACAAATTATTTATGATATGAAAATTTCAATTACTCTCTTCTTGAAATTTTGATGATTCCGACCGGATCGAAACTCTGTTGTTGTTTCTTTTGATGAGAGAGTCCGTGGGGGTCGTGTGTTTCTGTGTTTAGTATAGTTTTATTTGGGTGGAAAGTATAATTGCACACGCTTACCTTAGCGTTAAAGTTATTTTTGTTGTTGCTATGATACATACTGTGTTTATATCTCTAGTATATTAAAGATCCGGAGTTAACTCTGCGCGATTTTGGGTTGTAGTTGGGGTGGTTAGAGAAGGAAGATGATCTACCTTTGGATGAGAACGAGTAGGGTAGTTATCGTGAGGAGGATGGCGATGGGGAGTACGGAGGAAGAGGAACTGTACAGGAAGTAGCGCTGGTTGTTTATGTGGGCGTCGGGGTCGAGAAGCGCCACGTTCTTGATGGTTCGTAGGGCAGAGGTAAATGGCGCTCCGGGAAGCACCGCTTCGCATCCAAGTTCGAAGCCCTTGGCCCCCGATTCTGTGTACTTCTGCACCACCACGAAGCGGATCATCTGCCAGGTTGAGCTAAGTCCGTCGTGGTCCGGGATCGACGTCTTCAAATCCCTCACGAACTTGGTAGGAGCCTGAGGAAATGGTGCAACCAGAAAAAAACTAAGGGGTGAAACCAAGGAACAAACATCATTCTTACCCTTTCATTGTTGATATACCAGTTGATGATCTGCGGCGGGTCGGACGGCGCCGACGTGCACTTAGCTGATAGGATGTCTCCCTCGAGGTAGGATGGATCGAGGCCCTCGATCGTCGGCTTGCCCTTTGGCACCGCTGTCCGAGGGTGCAGAGGATTTCATTAGTGATTTTTAATACAAAAAGGACGCAACGATGGAAGATGGAAGGACGAGCGCAGAGTAATGGACGTAATTGAACGAGCTATTAAACTAATTAATTAGGAGGATTTCGGGGGCGTACGGCACGCTACTACGAGAGGGAACGCGACCGGAGTCAAAGGGCTTTTCCTCTTATACACCCTTAGCCAGACCGACAAATTAAGAGGGGAAAATGCTGCAAATGATACACAAACTCGCTGATTTACATGCGCTCCACCTCATCTCTACACGCTTCATTAATCCAAATTATGTTTTTACATTAGCTTCATTTTTATTCTGCATGTAGTATCGAAATAATTATCACCGAAATTAATGGAAGTCAATAGATCTAATCAAGTTTAATAGCAAACTCTATCGTTAATAATCGACAATTACAGAGTTACGTGATATTTGTTGCTCAAAGCGTCTCCACAAACTTCTATTAATTGATAATTACTGCAAGGAAGGCAGAAACTTTCTATATAAAAATCATATGTACATTAATAAATATAATGTTCGCATACTACATTTCCGTCGAACCTGGCAATGGGAGAGGGGCAAGTAATAGGATCTATACGGGGCCCAAATAAAAATTTGTTTGTTTAATTGTAACTAACTGGTGTTTAGGGCCCACAACTTTCTTAATGTGGACCCCGTCATCAATTTTTCAATTGTTTATAGCTCTATGATTTTCTCTATTTCAAATCAAAGGGGACCTCAAATATAAAAAATACCTGGTGTCATTCAAAGTGAGGCCACTTCAAAAATATTTAAAGTTTCGCTACTCCATAGATTCCAAATAATGATGTAAGTTAAGACTTATATTAATATAATTATGTAAAATGTAAGTTTTAAATTTAAATAAATATATTAAACATTGCAATTTTAATTAAATATTTATTATGATTAATAATAATAATCTATTGCATCAACAAATTAAAAAAAAAATAAAACGACCTATTGTGATTATTTTATTAAAACAAGCTGTTAACTTTTGCAAAATATAAACTAAATTTATAAGAGGTTTCATTGTCATAACAATATTTATTCTTATTAAAGTTAATTTTATATATATTTTTTATTTTGATGGACCGAAAGACTGCGGTCAATAGCCTTAATATTTATAAGAAAATTAGTAGTTTAATATATCAAGAAAAAATCGAAAATATATCTAATTGAAAAATACATTTGCAATAAATACATATTCCGTCTATAGCGCCATAGATTAAATTTATGAACATAAATCGTCCATCGATCTTTCGAAGGTACGTGTTGCGTTGAATGATGAGTAGGCCAACAATGCAATTTAGTATGTAAATACTTCAGTTTAACAAAATTCAATACCAATTACATTTTCCAACAAAATATTAGAGAAAATCATTTATTAAATTATTGTTTCTAATAATATTCGTTTAAACTATGATAGAATTACCATCTTTTGAGCATAACAGACAGTGGATATAGTATAATTTATGTATAAACTATAGACTTAATATAATGCAAACAATGAAAAAATAACACAAATATTTTTAATTCTTGACAAACTAAATTTGTAATATATTTATAATAAAAAAAAATAATAAATTTATTTCAAATCTTAATAAAGCTTGTTTGAAAGATATTTTACAAAAAAAGATTTGAATCACGTTTTAACCTTACTTATATTAACCTAACACTTTTTGCTTTCTATAAGATAATAATTAAAGCTTTACATTTTATTACATATTTTACAGCAGAAGTAAAATATGGTAATTAATCAAAAAGATTAAAAATATAAGAATTTCAGGAAATAAAAATGCAAACAAATAAAATAGTTTTATTTATATTGTAAGTACAGTGAAACCTTGCTTAACAAGTTTAATCCGTTCCAAAATTACTGGATTTTTACTCGTATAGTAAAATACTCGTTTTCCAATATAAACTAATGTAAATTACAATAATGCGTTCCTTGCAAGAAAAAAAAAGTATAACTTAGTCTCGATTTTTAATGATTTTGCTTTTCATATCTATGGTTATTTTTATTCTTTGGCTTTTTATTTGGAGACATGCTTGTGCTATTAAATTTTGCACAAAAAAAACACAAATAGCATGTCTGAACACAAGTTTGGAAATTTTGTGATCACAAACAATGCTATGCATCTTAGCATTGTTTGTGATCACAAAATTTCCTAGAATGACCACTAATACTAGGAATTGTTTTCCAATTCACACACGGTGAAGTGAGTTTAGATTTATTTATATTCCTTGTATCAATTCGAGGACTTGGTGGAGGTCTCTTCATATTTTTAATATTTGTTTATATAAAAAAAGCGTACATAGTGTGTTTATATATTATAATAATGATTGAACACAATATATTTGTGTTTTGCATTTACAGCAAACACAAATTATATTTGCAAAGTATAGTCCGCTTTAAGCAGAGATGACAAAGATAATCGAAGATGGTTATGTCGTGTCCCAGGGTTAAGAAATCCTTGGACACCGTAGTTATGTCGTTGCGGAGTCTTAGAGGGGTTTATGAATATTAAATGCAATATTCTTAATTAACTTTATTGTATACATCGGAATTTTATTGAGAAGTCAACTAAACAATAGTTGATCTCAGGTATTATTACTAAGAGTTACATTCTCCTCTTAAGTTAGTGTTTATGAAGTAAGTGCTCTTGGTTCGACCCCTTAGCTAAGACGAAATTATATAATACAAAATGTTCATTTCAAAAAGGGACTGCGTGGGAGATAAGGGTTTGACCTTGTAGAAAACATAACCGTTTCTTTATCTAAGTTTTATGATCCTGCCCAAATATTTAGGAGCTGTAGAAGGCTGTTAAGTGGTGATGCAATAGACACAACTATACGATTTAATGTGTAACCGTCGTTCGGAATATTCCACAAGTTATTCTAAATAATCACGTACAAGTATCCGTTTGTATATTTGATGGATACGTTAAATATGATTTAAGAGGAAAGTCATGGCAAATATACAAATATACATATTAGTTATACAATAGATGACAATAAATTGGTCGGCCACGATAGTTAGTATATTCAAAAATACACATAATATGTGTACACAAGTTTTAAAAATGATGTAGAAGGCGCGCAATCCAGAACTTCTCTTCTCCTCGTCACTCGTTAAGCGAATCATTTTTCTTACAATTCATTTTGCTCGTTAAACGAAATGCTCGTTATGCGAGGTACTCGTTAAGCAAGGTTCCACTGTATACAATTATGCCAGTTTCATACTTTTAATGTAAGTATTTGCATTGTCAAAAAACAAAATAGTTTCATATTCATTGTAAGTATAAAAAAACAAGTTCATACTTTTATAACGATTTTATTTTGTACAGCATTTTTGAACGGTTGATCTCTATTGCATGTGGATAAACGCACCATTATTTGTTTCAAATGTAACAAAACGCTATAAATAACATATTTTCATGTTTCATTTTTAGTTTTTTTTTTAGAGTTTATGTGCATTTATTTCAATAAAATGTTTATTCATATTTTTTACATTATTTTTCATTTAAATTATAGCAGTGCGTACATCTCTCCGTACATGAAATAACTATTAAAAAAAGTATAACGATGAATGTTGAAAAACTCTAATAACTATTTAAAACTAGTATGTGAAAATATAGTTTCTTCAATCAACGTTTAACTGATATGATAATGATTAAATTATCATTAAGATGTTTTATAGTATTATGTTGGTATTGGAATTATTCAAAATCATGGTTATTTTATTATCTGCTAGGACTGCCTTTTTTGTTCTGATTAAATAAAATAATAAATTCATTACATAATAGAAAAATTTACGTAATTAAAATTAACGAAAACGAAAGTTATTTGATGAAAATAAATTAGTTTAAAATAGTTGTAACAAATGCAAAAGATTTATGCATAATGTAAAAATCCTCTCATTTCATCGTGATATGACGTACAAAATTAATCGTTTCCAACGATATGTGAAATAAATGTGCTTCTCTTGATGATATATAATGAAAGGATGGAGAGATAAAAATGCAGACTATACACAATAAAGGATAAATAGTGGAAACATTTAAGAGTGGATCAAGAAGAGAAAAGGTCCTCGGTCTGGGGGAAAAGAAACGCATTAGAAACGAACATCAATTATGTGAGTGGAGATCGGTGACAAGGCCTTCTGCGTTCTCCTTTTGCGAAGCCCTCTCTCCGTGTATATCTTCTTCTCTTCTCCTTGTCGCCATGGATAAGGACGTTTTATTTTCCTTTTTTTGTTTAGCAACGCAATCGATAGCACTTAAACTGCACACTCAATTATGGCGATTATTCAAGCGTCTCGTTGTTTGTACATCGAATTGTTGAATTGAATTTAAGACTTTAGGGTTTCCCTTTTCTTTTTTATTGTAAATATTATTATCAATTGCATGAGTCTATAGTGTATTTACCTGCGACTGTAATGTTAAGGGTGCCGGAGGCCAGATGGAAGGCCGGTGCTTCGCTGGAGACCTCGCATCTGTAGGATCCTCCGCTCTTCACCCTCAGCAATTCGGAGAGCACGAGCTGGCACCTGGTCTGGTCGCAAATCGTCTCCTCTCCGACCAATTTCACCCCGAACACCGGAAATGTGATCACATGGGGCTGATGATTCGGCACATATCTGCGACACACACAAGCAAACGGAAAGGGAAATCGAATGTGAGAATGTATTTCAATTTCCTCTCGCCTTATCCTGTTTTCCTTCCCCCCTATTTTTTTTTCCTTCCACGCCTCTATTTTTTATTGCACATCCCCGATTCAATTTTTAACGAGCGCATTTGTCGCACGTTTTTCTTGCCGAAACATTATTACGTGACTTCATTTACGAACTCAACGTGCATGTAAAAGCCCGGCGCATCCACCAACGATATTTCTTCCGCGAAAACAAAATTATGTTCCGCACATGGAAATACGTTTCATTTGTTTCGTTTATCATACATATTCATATAGAAAACACTAAAAACCATACGTCATTCAATGTCAAAGAAAAACTTTTTTTCAAAATTAATTACATTGTGAGTAAAACAAATTGTATATGCAAATTGATTTTGTATTTTTAAACAATCCTATTATTGTATAAATAAACCCGGAATTTATATAAAAGTAATTGGCAATGTGATTTATATTTAAAATTTTATTCTATGTCAAAATACGTGTATGAAAATGCTTGCGGCTATTTCAATAGTTCATTCCATTCCATACTTCCACCATAATATTCTAAATGGAAATATTATTTCATAATATTATTATTGCAAATGTTTCTATTCAATTTCAAATTCATATATGTTGAAATCATATTAATGCAGAATAAACCTAGACAGACAATCCTCTAAACTTTTTTATTCTTCTCATAGTTACCTAAATAAAACAAAAACGTAATTTATTTATAGTTGTAACTAGTTTTTTTTATTTTACCGGCCAACGGAATATCCAAAATTACCCGCAAATTTTAATAGAAAATGCCGGTAATTTGCACATGATTTTTTTTACCAAAAATGAAGGTCTTCGAAAGTACGACAAAAAATAATTTGTCAAGGAATCTTTATGATTTTGGATAACAGGTCAACATATGGAAACAACAGAAAAAGTCTTATGAAATTAATAATATTAACATTATTGTATATAAAACAGTCTACAATAATTATGCATTATTTAATTCCAATGTTCCCATATATTTATGATTGATAAAGTGACGCAAAATACCACTCTAAAGAGGAATTAAAATCATAATTAATTATACAAATGTTGTTCATTTTACGCACAATCCTTTAGAATTTAGGAATACAGTAAAACCTTTTTTGTGTTAATCCAAAACGCGCATTTTCTTGTGATGAATTAGTTCAAAATCATATTCATATACCGTATAAAAAAATCGCATAAAAAGGGATCGCACAAAAACAAGTTCTACTGTATACATAAATTTGAAATTATCTGTCATTAGGAAAATTATTGTTTAAAGTAGTATAAACGGTTGAAATAACGAAAATTTTAACAAGTCTGAGTAATTTAGATATGATTTGATTACTTTGAAAGTGTTGCGATAAACTTTTATGTTGTCTACAAAAGTACTACTAGAGTGTGATGATTCGCATTTGCAAATTGGTAATGATAACTTTGAAACATTTTTATGCAATAGTGATAGTGATAATATAAATATTAATAATAATGTTTATTGTATCAGCCGTACAAAAGAAACATATAAAGATATAAAAAGAACAAAATAAATATATATGATTTCAAAAAAAGTCAACTGATACAATGGGCTTTCTGCCCGAGTGATAATATATTATTGTGCTTTCTTATGTTTATTTAATAAATAGTTAGTTTTCTATTGGTTATAATTCCACTTTCTTTAAAAATACATACCAAACTCATTATCAGTTTTATATTATCTAATAAAACCCCTTGTTCATAACAATTTAAGTAATCAATTTTATTCAACCTAATTATACATTATATTATTTTTTTTATTTTTTTTATAATCTGAATTATTCCTATTATATCTTAATAATTATGAAAAATCAAAATAAATATTTTTTAATTGTAACATTTCTTTGGAATAATTTTCTTCGTTATTCCATTTGTACAATTAAACTACTTTTGATTATTTTTTAGATTTAGATTATTATTTCTGTATAATTAATATAAAATTATATGTATTTCTTAATGAAAATAAATAATCATAATTACACAGTCAGAAAAGTATACAAACGTTAAATGAAAATCTTTTTTTTTTCCTAAACTTAAAAAAATATTATAAAGGGTGTCCCAAAATTAAAGATAGATTTGAATTAAATAGAAAACAGAGTTTTTAGTCTTCAAGTTGTGATTTTTTTATTGAATCATAAAATACATAGGTTAGGGTTATTTATGGAATAATACATTGGGCAAATGGCCTCCACAGCTTTGCTGGCACATACGCACTCTTATCGAAATTTTCAATGACCATTTTGCATAAATGTGGCTGAATATCGTTGATGCAGCGTTTAATTTCTTCCTGTAATGCACGTAATGATTGTGGGCTTGTTGACATAAACCTTTGACAAATAACCCCATAAAAATAAATCTAATGGTGTTAAATTACAAGATCTAGGGGGCCAATTCTGATCACCAAAACGAGAGAGTACACGACTAGAAAATATCTGATGCAGTAATTGATTTTTTTCACGGGCTGTGTGGCACCATCTCATCGAAACCACATGTCATCTATATCAATATCATCCAACTGGAGCAGAAAAAAGTGTGTTATCATGTTGTGATCATGTCAGTAATAATCACTGCTTGACCAGCCTCATTTTCAAAAAAGTATGGTCCAATGATATCTCCAGCCCAAAATGCGCACCAAACAGTGACACGCTGTGGATGCATTAGTTTTTCGACAATCACATGTGGGTTCTCCGGACCCCAAATGCGGCAATGTTGGCGATTAACGAAGCCATCAAGGTGAAAATGTGCTTCATCGCTTATGATGATTTTGCTCGAAAAATCAGCATCCACTTGATGCTAAATAATCCATTCAACTCTCTATTTTTACTAACCCTAACCTCTCAGCTGCCAAATTGTTTATTTTTTGGGGTTACCAATTCAAATCTTTCGTTAATTTTTAGACACCCTATATATATATAATTTTTATTTTATAATTATGATTTTATTTTATATTTTAATGGTTGCAATAAATATTATTATTTAGTCAGAAAAGTAGACCTTTTTTGGTCTATGAAAATTTATTTTTCAAGCTTACATTTTTTTATTTAGTAATAAGTTTTCCAATATTATTATAAAAATATAATATAATATAAAATGTTTACAATAAAATATTTGACACAATAGCTTTTATGTAAATGTTTCCATGATTATAACGACATTCAAGTTTATTCTTGCCATGACAAGTACCTCTTCTGATACGTGTGTGACCAATTTAAGGACAATAAACATAGCAGAATGTAAATACGATAGAACTTTCGATTCGAAACTTTTCGGAAACTTTCCACTCACACTTGAAAAGTGGGAAAGAGCGGAACTAGCGATGAAGGGGGAAATATGAATTTCCGTCTTGGTAAACGGTGGAACGGTTTGTTGAATGGCACTTTAACAGACACACACTTTGTCACATCAGTGTCGGCTTTTGTTTGCTTTATCAGTTAGTTAAAAAGTTTTCTTCACGAACGTACACACTGTTTCTCTTCCAAGTGGTCGACATCCATTTCACTTTTCAACACCGCCAAACTCTAAACCGAGAAACGTCAATGTTCATCACATTTTGTCGACGAACATCTTCGATAACTTTCTTATTTATATCGTCGATATTAATTCATTATTTAACTTCTACTTTGAAGCGTATTGCAAAATACAAATACATTAAATTTGTAGACGGAGTCCTGTCTTCACTTAATTAGGGTAATATGCTTTAAAATTGCAGAATATTTGCTGACATAAAATACGTATTCATAGGAATAAATATTCAAGTCACATTTAATTGATTCATTTCCAATTATATATTGCTAATTAAATTCAACTGAATCACCAATATTTACAACATCAAACTGTAGTTTATAAAAGTGAATACAGGTTAGTTGTTATTTACATTATAGTTAAAATGTGTAATTTTTCTTTTAAAATAATTATTGCAATCATAAAATTTTCAATGCTCTCATATTACCTTGTGGTTTCATTACCATAAAATATTCATAAAACTAAATCTTTATTCTTTAATGTAATTAATTATGATATATAAATATTCTCATTATTTAACTTTCTTTTTAATATTAAAATTATAAAAGCGTAACCGAAACAAATGAATTTAATGGTTCATAAAACAATCCTAATGAATGAATTAATTTTATATCAGTTAAAAGTTAAATTGATACAATTTTTTGGACTATTTTGGAACATTCAATCATATAAAAAAATAAATACACATTTATTTGACATATCGGTTAAATATATTCCTAAAGTCAAATCTTTTTTTCTAAATAAATATATTTGAAAAAATAGAATAAAATTAACAATGGAATTTTGTAACATAATACCTAGTAACATAATGCCACTTCGATCAGTGCTGATAGAAGAAAGAAAATAAATTTTACTTAAAGAAAATATAGGAAGATTTCTGATGGGAAATCGTTCCGCTCCACACTTGTTATTTTGTTTTTCTGTTTTTCTGTTTTTATTTTATTTTTTGTCCACTGCCCAAACATATTCTACTCATTGCCAAAAATTGGCAGGTTGTGAATAAAATAAAGGTTACAAAAAACTTAAGGAAAATAAAAAATAAATATGATTGTTTTTTATGTCTCTCTTGACTTAACTGCAGTCTCTTTTTGTGTTGTTTTAATGTACTCGATTAGTCCGGTCTCTAACAGTGCGGGATATTGGCGGAACCGATTATCCTTACTATTGAAGTATACCTGTACATCAATGTTTCCCAAAGTATGGTACGCGTTACACATGCAACAAGCAACTTACTTTTTTTCGATTACAAACATATAAAATATAATAAAAATAATTCGCATTGATATTGAGAATTTTGCAAATCTTATGACGTTTGTTAGATACGAAAAAGATCAAGAAAATCATAACGACTTTTTATTTTGCAAGAAAACAAAATTAATTGGAATAGAT